CCCTACCGCAATGTTTTGTCGCGTTCGAACATTACGGTTTCGACCGGGCGATTTTCTGGTTTCAACTGATCCAGATTCTTCGAATTTCTTTACCAACCTCGAAACTGTTGTTGCGTGATGTTTACGGGCAGTCTCTGCGTAGCACTCCCCATTTTTGTAATGAATTTTCACAATAAGAATGCGTTGCTCGATACTGAGCCGCTCCATACCTATAAAAGGGAAAAACGTTAAATGGTCTTCTAATCGGAGTGATAATATTGTAGATAACGAATATGATAGGAACAGTGCTGACAGTCTTCAAACAAAAAATCGCTCGAAATTTAAAAACTGCGTACATCACCCTATATTTTCACTACATTATAAAGGAAGCAATATATAATATAACACATAGATATTCTGGTGTAATGCCTACTTGAATACTTTATCGCTAAAAGCGGATCAGAACTTTTTACTGGGCAGTGTGTGCCTTCGTCGGTGTACGCGATATCTGGATCAGTAATTGAAATACAGGGTCCGCCACGTAACTTTTTTTTTTTTAAATGCAATAAAACAAAAACGGTTCATCCGATCATCAAATTTATTTGTGTGTAACCACTACCGGACCCTGTATATGTAATAATTAAACTTGATAAACAAATCCTAATGAGATTTTTTGCTAACAATTTTCATAGTCAAATGAAAGTATTAGTCGAAGTCGGCTCACTGTCAGTCCAAACGAAGTAAGAATTGTTGATGACGATCAACCGGAAAATAAGAGTGTGGTGCCTAATTCGAGCCTTTTATAGGAACTTATCGGTGGTTATAAGTGGGTATCGTTGTTAGCAAGTGCATGGCCGTCAAACTTTGTTGTTGTTGGAAAGATCAGATGGATTTTGGGCTTCGAATTGACACTTTCCATTACTTTCTAATGTGATTGGCAGAATATTGGATAATGAAGTAATTCATCATGTAAGTTATAGAAAAAATATTTTATTTAAAAAAGTTTAGCCGCTCCTCAGGTTTAAAATTTGGTGTTTTGGATATATTTCATATAAAACAGATTTTTTTCACTGTATATTGTAAATGTCCTGACCAGACCAACATCAATCTTATTTACAAAATTTATTTTTCTATTTGTTGTTGCCCTACGGCAGGGATTGTCAAGCCCTCAAGTGTATTTCTAACATGAAAAAATTCCTTCTATGACGATCAACAGATACTCGGCGACGTAGTCTCTCTCCCATCATAAATTTGTCACCAAATTTGCGATCCTTTATATGACCGTTGTAGTAAATGTCACAAGGACCTAATCGTTTCCGTCCTTGTCCCGTTCAACGCACGTCAGCAATTTGTAAATTTCAGTACATCGGTCTTCTGTGCTAAGTTCACTTTCTGAACTCGATAACCTTATGTTTTTTCTTTCTGTCTTCCTCGAACGTTCTCAATATATGCATTTTTGTTCTCACTTTACCTGAGAACTCAAATTTGACCGTATTGCTGCATTCCACATAACCAGCGAAACCATTGATCATTTAAGGCAGTACTCTGCTTTAGAGGCTTCAAAAATAGCATTTCTATCTTATATTTAAACTATCGAAGAATATATCTTCAAAATTTCCGTGGCCAATTCGACATATTTTAGAACCTATAACATTTTTAGTGGCCGAGCCTCGGAGCAGGTTCTAATGCTCGGGCATACTTTGAAGCGTGTTTTCTGGAGTTTTCATTCTTAGTCTTAGAAAACAGTTCCGAAGGTAACAAAGAATAATAAAAATATATATGTCCGATCGAAAAAAATCAAAGTGATCTAGTATTAGTAATAAATTAATATTCTATACGCAACTTGAATTGTTTTTTTTTTTTTTAAAAAGTTATCTTTTTTAAACTTCAAAGAAATTTGGAATTTTTCAACTTCTTCAATACTTTTTTAGTTCATATCAAGGCGAATTTACCAAGCCGCAATTACTAGAGCTGCGAAATAAATATGGTCCGTTGCTTAGACGAGTTGATACGCCTATTAATCAACGCACTTAGGTCAATGGGGCGTAGCGATATCGCTATGAGGTTCCTGTTTTCACATTATCAAGTGTTCGAGCCATTTCGATCGTATATGGAAAGCAACGATATTACCAATTCTTATTGAAGCTAGCTAAGCTAGCCAGTGAAAGAAGTCACAGTGTTCAATGGACTCTTTCTATGCCTCATCGAACGGTTATCTGTGATTACACCCGTAGTTATTCTAATGGATAACCGGTCTAGAAGGATTATATGTTTAGATTTTATTGCGTCCAGCATTGGCCACAGCTGTATGGTCACGTTGCACTTGATCTCATTCAATCGTCTAATGGTTGCATTTTCGGCAAAGGTAAACATTTATCCTCTGCATGGATTTTTTGTGGATAGAAGGGTTCCTTTCTTCAACCAGCTTTGGACCATCTGTAAAGATAGGTATGGCTTCTTGATCGAGGGCGTTTTTTATTTCTTTTCATTCGTTCCTGTTTGGGATTCCTGTTTGAAGAGATTGTCTAAACAATCCGTTGTGCATATGTAGAACGGATGATCTATAATTTTACTGAGCAACACAAGAAGAAGGATCTACATCTTTCTGGATTCTCATTGGCCACCATTTTTTGAAAAGGATATTAAGTTTATATTACGGTTAAACACAAGATTTTCTTGCAATACTAATTCTAAATAATAATTATAATCAATTACATACATATGTATGATATATAAGCTACAAATGCCAGTAGAGCTTGTAAGAAGACACTCCATAAAAGATAACGACTCTGCTCTTAATGCCATTTAAATTAACAAACGATGATTCTTAAGCTAACGGCATCACCTTTATGAATTCGCCTTGGTGCATATAGAAGAGACACTCACGAGTTCAGTCTGCAGCTGTCTCAGAAAACTCAAAACAACAAAGGAAAATTCCAATATTTTTTTACACTAAAAGTTGATTTTTGAAGCTTAATTTCGTTTACCGCAATAATTTCCTTCCCTTTCAAAAAGAATTGCTGGTAACCCTGTTTCCCTCGATCTAAAGGAGAAAAGTTTCTTTTAGTATAAAAATAACATTTGATATACAGGGTGCTCCATCTTATACGTCGGTATGTAAACATTGAATAACTTTGGGAAAGAATCACCGATTTCCATAAGTGATGTATTTTTATTCAGTTTAGTTCCTTGCAATTCTTTTGGGCCAGTTTTTGAAAACAATATCTATCAAGTGGCTACCTTTCTTAGCAATTACAAAATTACTCGATTTTTCGGCATTTGCGATTACCTTTCCGAGCATTGCGGGTGTTATAACGTCGATTTCAGCTCGAATGTTTGCCCTGAGCTCATGAATAGTTTGAAGCTGGTTGGCGTAAACCTTGCTTTGCAGATAACGCTACAAAAAGAAGTAAGGGGGGATTATATCAAGTGACCTGTGTAGTCAGTCAATGTCAGTAAATTTTTGATACCAGACGTTGAGTTAACGAATGGAACTACTGTTTCCAATGTAAGGTGTCACTACTGCAGCGCTTTGTTTCGGTGTGAAGCGATCCATGGCAACATTTGTACTGAATTGACGTTTCCAAAACGTATCTGATGCAATCGCTCGCTACATACCGACAAAATGATAGAGCACTCTGCAACTTCAAATCTTGACTCGCTAGGAGTAGATTTAAATTGGCTAGAATAGAGTTTGAAATTTAATGTATATTTTATTAAAAGTCGTAAGGGCAAATGGCGCTACCATAATTTTATTTTCACGATGTTCTGGCAGAAAATTTAAAAAGGGCCATTAGGCCCGTCTCGGTAGATCTAGTGTTGTTGTTGTTGTTGTAGCGGTTCGCTAACCCTGCTTAGGCACAGTGTAAGTCGCCGAGGTCATCTAGTGGTAGGTCCAGGAAACGAGCTGTTTCGACGGGGTTGGACCAAAGGGAGAGGGGGGTTAGATGAGTGGGTTTGAGGGGGCATGTGAAGAGGTGGTTAGTGTCGTGCGGGGACTCTCCACATGCCGGGCATACGTTAGGTATGCTGGGGTCTAGTCTGGGTAGGTAGGAGTTTAACCTGCTACAATATCCAGACCTGAGTAGATCTAGTGTTAAATACAGCTCGTCAGTGTGATCATATCTGGGGTCATTTTGATGGATCTATTTCTTCCTCTTGTGGTTTCTTACATATGTTATATAAGTACTTGGCGGCCGCGTTAGACGAATGGTTAGTATTGCGAATTGACATTTGGAAGGCTCGGGTTCAAATCCAGATGCCACCAATATCCAAAAAGTTATTGAAAATTAATTTAAATACAAATTAAGTTAAATTTTCTAATTGCGGTCGCCCCTTGGCAGGGAATGTTCACCTCTCTCAGAGTGACATGAAAAACAAAAGCTCCTCATAAAAAACCATAAGCCGTTTGGAGGCGGCTTAGTATAAATTGAAGTTCCCTCCATTTGTTGGAAAAAGACCAAAACTCAAAACCCCAAATTCAGAGGATGAGCTCGGCCGAAAAAATCGCTTCAGCGGTTACAAAGCACCAATTATTATATATATACGAACTTATATATAATGCGATCGCCCACCTTGGATCTCTTTAGTGCCGAATGTCTGTACTATGAATTTTTTTCCAAGCAACTATGTCCAAAATACTGGATTGATGTAACCAAAAAAAAAAAAGTTGGCAATAAAGTTTCATTTGTTAAGTAGCTCGTATGTATGTCATAAAACTTAAAATTTAATATGACTATAGCTGAGTATTTTGATTTTGTGATTGGCGAATACGATTTTTATTTGACATTCGAAAGTGAACATACATACATGCATACATACATACATATGTACATATTTGTATTATCATAGACTAACGCATTCAAAAGGCCAATTGGTTACTTATCTGCGTAAGCTAATAAATTTATATTTTATACCCCTGAAAATTTCTATATATGTATATGTAAGAATATGTGCGTTTTATTGCAAACGGTAGCTATAAAAGTGACCATTTAGCATTTACCTTCTGCAGTGCATTCTCACACACTCGCGCGATCGGAAAGGATTACGGTTTGATTCTGGTGTAACGGTTAACGGGCGGTTAAAATTTTCAATATACATATATAAACGAAATGGCAACGCGGCATACTTTTGCAGCGTTGTCGCTATTCCTAGCGATATTTATACATAATTCTTATGCTGCATATAATTCAACAGCATTAGCCGTAGCCCCCCCAGGATTACCATTCACAAATGATCTTGCGTATTTGTTTTTCAAGCATGGTGCAGCAATAGGTGCTGAATCATTGAATGGAACTTTAAGAGCGTACGATGACACGAAATGTCTAAGAGATATTGATCGCATATCAAATGCGTTGGGCGAGTATTATGAATGGGCTATTGAGTGTAAGTGCAAATACAATATTAAAATTGTTTGTAAATAAATGCATAGGCGAATAATTGAGAAAATGACTATATAATAAAAATAAAACAGTGGTAAATGGTATTAATTAATTAATTGCTAAAAGCGGCGTAACTTAACAGTGATTTAATAGAATAAATAAATCTCTTCTCTAAGTGACATGTCAATGACAAAAAAAAGATATAATATTATTTTCGTATTGGAATGACTATATTTTAGAGTGTGGTTGCGGTGTTGACAGTACTTACTACAACACGGCAGTGCTTGGATTCGAACACTGAACAGACAAACATTTATAGAAATTTAGTTTTTTAATTGCTGTCGCCCCTCGGCGAAGAATATCAATCGCTCTAAGTGTATTTCTGATGCGAGTATAAACTTCTCATGAAATCCATCAGCCCCACTGAGGCGACTAAGCATAAACTGCAGGTCCCTCCATTTGTTGGAGAAATATCAAGACGCATTCTACAAATTGGTGGAGTAGCTCAGCCGAAAATCACTTCAGCCGTTAATAAACTACTCAATTATAAAGACTGTTTAAATGTCTTAAATAAAATTAATACGGATGTCTTCCTATAAAATAGAATAAATATTAAAAAAAATATTGACTCTACTGAATCACAGGCATTATGTTTATGGAATATCTCGAATATTATATAATGCCGAACCTAATTCCATAATCTATCGACTTTGTATGTATCAGTGATGCTCAACCATCGGAACGAATGTTTTTTCCTATTTTGTTAACATTAAAATAAAACTTAGCGAAATCGTTTCCGCACCATATTGTCGAAGAAGATTTAACATTTTCTGTTGAAGATTTAACATTTTCTGTTAACGATTTAACATTTTCTGTTAACGATTTTACATTTTCGTTAAGGATTTAACATTTTCTGTTAACGATTTAACAATATCTGTAAAAGATTTAACATTTTCTGTTGAAGATTTAACATTTTCTATTAACGATTTAACATTTTCTGTTAAGGATTTAACATTTTCTGTTAACGATTTAAAATTTTCTGCTAAGGATTTAACATTATCTGTCAACGATTTAACATTATCTGTAAAAGATTTAACATTTTCTGTTAAGGATTTAACATTTTCTGTTAACGATTAAACATTTTCTGTTAACGATCTAACCCTATCTATTAAAGATTTAACATTTTCGGTTAAAGATTTAACATTTTCTGTTAAGGGTTTAACATTTTCTGTTAACGATTTAACATTAACGACAGCATTTCCTTTTGGGTAAGAATGAAATAAAATTTCTTTTGATAACTGTTTTACCGTTAACATTTCTAAATATGTTCAACTGAATTGATTGGAATTTTTGGATTAACGTGAAATATGCCATGCACCCTTGGTATGATACATGTTGCTTGGGCATATTTTTTTGAAGATACAAGCTTCTACAAGCTTCTATTAAGTGCGATATTTCCGTAAAAAACACCGAAGTCAAAATAAAAATGTTTATATTTTTTTATCTATTAATGAAAATTGGGTACTGCAATGAACGAAAGTGTTAAGATAACATACAGTTCAGAAGAATCTGAAACAAATCATTGGAAATACAGACCCATATTCGAAACACCAATTTATAGAGTACGGTTCTTATTGTTTTTAACAGTAATATTTAAAATGGTATCCAAAATGAATGCAAAAAATAAAATTGATAACATGGAATATTTTTTAGTGGAATATTCTGAAACAATAGCTTGCCCACGACTTCGTTTATTTATTAGGTTTATTACATTATTAATTTTTTTATAACTTATATACGATTATTTATTATATATATATGTCAGTTGTTAAGCAAATTCAAACCCTTGAATCGATTCCAAGTTCACTCCCCGGAAGAAAAAGTGTTCCCAATATGGGCTTAAAACTACGGCTGTGTCAAATTTTACGTAAATCAAACGATAATTCAATTATTTCGAATAGATCAGCCCCATGTCCATTTCCTAGAAGTAAAAGGGTTCCATTTTTTATATGTGTATAGATAACTGAATACTTTACAATGTTCTTTCATTAATTTTAAATATATATATGTAATATTATTATATACATATATATAGCTGGAAAAACTTGTAAGGCTTTAAATTTGATAATAAAAAAAGTTGATCAAAATTCACTGAAAAATGTTGGCGCACCCTGTACATATACAAAATATATATATTTATATATATACATATATATTTCCAGCTAGGTTCGATCAAATAACCCCCTTTATTGCGCAAACAAAACTTCGCTCTTTTTTCGGCATTTTCCATGACATTTGTCACCATCTCGGGTGGTATCGCAGTCATTTCAGCTCCAATGTTGTTCTTCAGCTCGTCCAATGTCTTCGATTTGTTGTTCTGGTGCAGTCAAATCCGGCGATCTGGTGGCTAGTCGATATCCCCCCTTTCGATACCATACGTCCGGGGAGCTTTCGCCGCCAGAATTTCATCCTTCACTCTGCTATGTAAGTCTCCCATGAGTCTCTAAATTCGAAGCCAAGTGACAAATAGTGTCACTTTTAGATGTAGCACGGCTGCGATACTTTTTCCGATACGCACGCTGTGTTGCAACAACTGAACGATTGCACTCAATGTACGTTATAAATATTTCGGCACGTTCTCTGGGCGTAAAGAGATACATGGCTGAAATTGTATTGGAATATCCTTTCCAAAAAGCGTTTAGTGCACGCAATCAGTTGAAATCTGTCAAAGTTATTCAATGTTTCCATTGACCACATATAGATGACGCACCCTGTAAAATATTTGCAAATACCACTTAACCAAATATGCTGGTACTGACTTTACTAGACGTTATTTTGGTTGTTCAGATTCGTCATAAACTTGCGTGTTACATATGTATGTAGTATTATTTATGGATACCGTATCCACACGTGGAAATAAATTTTCACAAATATTATATAATCGTCATAATCATGCATGAATTGTTAGCAATTGACCATACGAAATTCAAAATTCAAATATACTTATAATTCTACTATCAGAGCTTTATCCGGCAAAATGCCTGAGAGATTCATAAATCTCTACCCATAAGATTTATTGTAGGAGTCGAAGATAAACTTGAAATAAAATTTTTTCGTTATACACGTATGTGCATATGTAAGTGTGAACCTTATAACACCTATTTTGGGAAAACCTACTATAAATCTCTATTGAATCATAAAATGTTATAAATTATAACAAAAAAAAACAATAATTTGGTCTAATGATAATCAAGTCATAAACAAAGTGTGAGTGTGCGTATGGCAGGTAGCTACCTAATGTTATGGGATAATTAAAGACTTTTTGATATAATACGAGTATGTGTTACGTATGTGAAGCAATATAAAAGAATTATTGTTGCCTTAGTGGCAAATTCAAAGTTCAACAGTGATTAGTCGTTTATAAGCGTTTGAAATTTAATAATGAAATGGAAGTCATTACATACATGCTCGTACATACACGTATGTATTTTTAAAATGCATATTAATACCAAACAAGTCAATTGTCACCGCGTTAATTGTGGTACATTACCGTTAAAAATTTTCTACTTTATAGTGAAATTGCACGGCTTATCTGTACATATTAACCAAAATTCTGAAAAAGTAGAAAACCATAATTTAACTTTAAGGATGTTCATACATTACGTAAGCACTCATAAGGGGTGGAGTTAGAGGGCAAACTGAATCTTTATGCATGCTAACTTAGGAAGTGGGAGATCGCAAGTTTCTAAAAATTTTTCGTTGGTCGAAAAATTAAAACATTTTTCCACCATTATTTTTATATATCAATAATTTGATTCTATCAATAAGAACATTAAAGCTTTGTAGGTTAGGTTAGGTTGCAGTGGGTACCCATCTGTCAAGTCGGATTCACATTTGACTGATTTAGGCCCATTGTGATACTACAAAAATTTAAACCGTCAGGTTTCACCCTCCATCAATTTTGATTCTCTAATGAATCTCATTAGCTCCATGACTTTGCCGTCGGATATCTTCGATATACTATCTAGCAGTAGGGTCCGCAAATTTCCAAGTCTCGCACTGCTCAAAGACAGACATGTCACCTCTTTTAAGAAGTACATATCTCGTGATCTCTTCTTATCTCATTTCGGCCATGTTTGCTTGGTTTTGTGGCAGGTTGTAATGTCATTCCACCTTGTTGCAGCTTGTTCATATATGAATTCCTTGAGAACCATTTTGCATGTAGCAAAAGGCATACCAATGCGCTCTTTATCGAGAAGAATCTGCTTGGTCGTACCTCGCTTAGCAAGTTCATTCGCCTTACAGTTTCCCTCGATGTCTCATGTGAGAGACAGTCTGTTCTATTTGGCCATCTCCTGTAGAGATCACCGACAGTTCAGCAATAATGTGGAGTTTAGTCAGCGAGACCAGTGCTTTTATTACTACCTGTTATCGCTGAAAATGAAGATATCTGGCTCCAATTCGCTTTTGAGCATCCACGATTGCAGATATCTCCGCTGGAAAAACACTACATCAGGCATCTGCCTGAACGAGAGCGTTTTCTGAGAAGACTCTTCCGAGTATATTTCCAGCCCATCCTTGGAGTATTGTAGCTATCTGTCCATTCTTCCCTGCTGGGAATTCGTATTCTAAAGTAGTTATCAGTTACTACCAGTTACATCGATTCGTATAACTTGGTATGAAGTCATATTTACCCAATATTATAGAGTGTCCTCATATCTGGGTGGTCCATTGATTCGACTCTCTTAGACGAAGTGCAGTCATCGCTGCCGACTGGGCATATAAATTATGCGGACATACATATACACGTACATATTTATGTGTGATAACCGAGTGGTTAGCATTGCGTACTGCCATTCGAAAGGAGCGAGTTCAAATCCTGGTTCGACCAACATCCAAAAGTTATAGAAAATTATTTTAAATAAATAAAAAAATTTAATTTTCTAATTGCATTCACCCTCGGAAACAAAGGCTCTACATAAAAAACTATCAGCCGTTCGGAGGCGGCTTAGTATAAACTGTAGGTCCCATCATTGAAAAAAACCTTAAGACACAAAACTACAAATTGGAAAATCGTCGAAAATTGCTTCACCGGTTACCAAACGCCATTTATATATTTACATATATATACTCGTATATATAAGAGATTTTTGTGAGTTAAAAAATACTTAAGAATCGAAAACTATAGTTTAAAATCTTAAGGGGACCCTCCCCTGATATTGGGCAAAAACCAGGCAAAGTTTGTTTTTTTTTGTGGGGGAATGAAAAGGCGTACGAGCTCCGGGTTTGACTATTAAATTTAATTATTATTTGAGATTTCAAAACGCCAAAAAATAGTCGAAATTCATTATGACGGCTACAAAATTGCGCTTTCCGTCACGCCCGCGCGAAAAACATGGCCTGACAACTTCAAGCCTACAGCCACTTGAAGTAGACTGAAATCAAAAATCGTTGACATTGCTTAAAGATCATGAAATTTTCTAGGTCCTGGACTTCAATTGAAATAAATTTAACCTTAAATTTATTGCATAAATCTCATTACAATTATAATGTTAAAATTTTTGCTACTTTTTTCACTTTAATTACGTTAAAAAAATTATAAATAATTAATTATTAACGCTAATCTTAGGTTCAAGACGTACAAAAAACTATATACTTTGACACAGATTTTAGATAAAAGAAATCGGACGGATAGATCCAGCTCGGAGCTGGACGTTAGTTTGGAAAACATGCTTTCGAGAAAAATGAGTTAAAATTTTTTTGAAAGTTCATAGCGTGCGTATGGAAAGGGGTTGAAAATGCTGAAAATTATGCTTACGTAATTTTTTGACATTATTGTTAAGAAATTCTGAAAGCTTAACACTAAACCTACCTAGACTTTCTATATATATGTATGTATTCCTACTTCTACTAAGGCGGATCATATGACCTGGCAAAAAACAAATCATTTAATTACTTTAATGGGCAAGTAAAACATTTTTTTAATAACGAGTCTAATTATTAACACAGGAGATGATAAAAAATAAAATAATAAAAAATCTTCAATTCTTCAATTTCAAATTATTCATATTCGCAGCACCTTTTTCAAATTATTTCTTTTTCGAACGTACATTTTTCATCAACATATTGCTTGCACATCAATCTTCAATTGACTTTCTAAACTCCTTAACGGTTTTTTCTTTCTGTCCTCTTCGTACATTCATAATATTGTTGTTTTTACATTATTTACCGCGTGCATCATTATGTTGCTCTATGTTAGCCACTTCATCTTCGAAAATTTTTCTCTTCATTAATTTCTGAAAACTATTAATTTAATTTATTGTTAATTTCTAAAGATTGAAAATATCTAGAATCTTTTTAAATTTTTGGGCTAAGAATATTTAGTAAAATGATGAAATACCAATTTTTGATTGCCAAAATATATAATATATATTAGGGTTTTCCAAAAATAGCTCTTATTTTGATATTAAAAAAACATTTACACTTAAAGATCGATGGTGTTGTTGCTAATGTAACATGTAGTGCCGTCTTGCTGAAAGTAAGTGTTGACCAGACCAATTCCGGCCATAACAAATTAGTCCGAAAAAGCCCAATGACCCCGTTGGACTATAAACCGCACCAAGCAGTTACTCTTTCCGGATGGAAAGGCTTTTCAACAATAAATCCGAGCCCCAGATGCGACAGTTTTCCATCGAGGGGGAAAAGAGAATCATCAGTCAGATTTTTTGATAGAATTTTTATGGTAAATTTTACTATGTACAGCTACCAGAATATCTGGCTATTAAAAATAACAATTCTTATTAGGGATATCTTTACTCGCTTGAAGTAGAGTGAAATTGGTTATTTTTCCGCCAAACCACAAGATATTCTGACAGAAATTTTAAAATGAATCATGTAACCCTTTCGGTTGGGTTAATTTTGAGCAATGGAAAAAAAATAAATCAAAAAATTCCTGAGTGAAAAAATGTATATTGGGTCTTACAATGATATTTGTATGGAGAGGAACATGATGTCCGAAACGGCAAAAGTCATTACCGATAGCAAAATGCAAATCATCACAAAATAAAATATCTGGCTCCAATTCTACAGCCTCCGGCTGTAGAGAGGCAAACGCAACAAATAGGACTGACAATAAAAAAACATTAACTGCTTGCAAGTTAAAAATATTGTACCCAATAATTTTCACATTTACATTATCGAAGTATACATACTTTGAAGGTATCCGTAACGTCCGTAGTCCGTAATCGATACATTATTGTATATTCAAATAAAAGAAAAAATGATTTTCCCATAGCTAACAATATTAAAATCAATTAATTTCTTACTAAAGCATTTCTAAATAAAACAAATAAAAAACAATTTAAATCTTTTTATTTTGAAATAAATATATAAAAAATATGATTTCAGTTATAGTAGAATAATGTAAACTAAAATATTGAGCCAAGTTGAATTTCTAATTGTTAAATAAATATATATATATTTATATTGTTTTTATTACAGTCCCCGACACTTGGGGCCGCCTACCCGTCGGCTTAATGTGGGGTCACGCTCTTAGCTTTGGCGCCTATGAAGAATGTATTGCTGCTTCTTGGGAATTCAGTACAGATGATACGTTACGTGGTCAATACTGTCTGGCGCGTGTGCCCATTAAAAAATATATGGATGCAATTATACCACGCGAATCGACTGTTCAAGCCAGAATTAGTTATAAGTATACAAAGCCTGAAACTTTCGAACTGGGTATCTGCATACCCAGTTCCTGCTCAGCTGAGTTGGGAAACACAATATTGACAGGTGTGATGAATAGATACTATGACACTAACATTTCCACAACTATGGTCAGCGAAAGATATTGCAAATATGAAGAGACCGTGAAGCTAAGGGCCATCGATATCTTTGCTATGTAAATAGAATGATAAACCATTTTAAGTGTCAAATACGAATAATTAATTAATTGATTTATATCTTTCAGTGTTTTCTTCAGTTTCATTGTTTGCTGCTTATTAGCAAGTAGTGTATATGATTATATTAAAACTAAAAATAAGGGTAAGCCTTGTGTTGGATAATTTTTAACAATAATTATGAGCGGCGCATTCTGATTTCAGAACCGAAAAAACCACTTTTCGTCGCCTTCTCCGTGCTTACGAATGCACCAAAAATTTTCACCGTTAAAAAGACCAATAATCCTAATGTCATTTCATGCTTAAATGGTCTACGTTGTTTCTCAATGATGTGGGTTGTCTTCGGCCACGGCTACATGACTTTCTACGAATTGCCCCACATTAATAGAGATAAATTTTACACCGTAAGTAATTGAAATCATTTAACAATGAATGCATCATACCTACCACACAGCTATTTTTACTCATCGTTTATACATGAATTTGCAGTGGGTAGAAACACCATATTCCATGCTGGTTCAAAATGCTACACTCTGTGTAGATACATTCTTCTTTATGTCCGGTCTTCTGATGTTGTGGGGTGCTTTCCGTGAAATGGAACGCACGTAAGTATCGACTGTTGACTCTGTTAAGTGATTTTCTTCAAAAATTTACTAAATTTTGTATTTTACTAGGAAGGGAAAACTGAATATTGGCATGATGTATTTCCATCGATATATTCGTCTGACTCCTGTCGTAGCCGTTGTTATCCTATACATTATGTCATTGTACAAATATTCTGGCCATGGTCCCATGTGGATGAAGATTGGCACACAAGATGAACGCTGTTCGGATACGTGGTGGGCAACTCTGTTGTATGTACAGAACTATGTCTTCCCTAAGAAGATTGTAAGTATTAATAACTACTAATATAATATTTTTGCAATCACGGTACTAATAACATTAACTTTTGTGATTTCCATTTTAGTGTATCAGTCAGTCTTGGTATTTAGCTGTCGATACACAACTTTATGTACTTTCACCGCTCTTCCTTATTCCACTGTGGAAATGGGGCAAAAAGGCACTGGCTCCAATCATTCTTATCGGCGTTCTCTGCATGGGTTGCACTTTTGCCACCTTCATGAAATGGAAGTTCACACTTTTCCGCGTCGATGATGACCATGTGGATGATCGTCAGCGTTTGACCTACTATCCGACACATACACGTGTACCTACTTGGTTGATTGGTGTTATCTTTGGTTACTTCTTGTACACAAAGAATCGTGGTAGGCAAATTCCATTGGCCAAAATATGGGTAATCTCCGGTTGGGTTGTGGCATTTGGAGTTATGCTAGCTGACTTGTGGGGTCCTTATTGGCGCATATTACCTGAGAATCCAAGCGCACCTATTATTGAAGGTGCTTTCTACGAACCTCTAAGTCGCGCTTCTTGGGCTGTCGCAATTGGTTGGATTGTATGGGCCTGCTATAATGGCCATGGTGGAATTATCAATGATTTCCTTTCTTGGGGCTTCTTCACAGGATTCAGTCGCCTCACCTACTGCATGTACGTTATACACAGAATTGTACAATTAGTGAACGGTGGACGCATTCAAACAGATACTCATTTTGGTGATTACGAAATGGTAAGAAATGATTAATGATGTGTTTCGAGACATACAGACTTTATTAATTTTGTTTTTGTTCCGTAGGTACTTCGTTGGTGGCACGATTTCGGTGTAGCCCTAACTCTTTCCATTTTTGCAACATTATCTTTCGAATCACCTATTTTAGGCATCGAGAAGGCGATTTTCGGACGTGGTGAAAGTAAACCAGCACCGAAAAAGATCGAACCCACCTCTGCCCCTGCCGAGGTTGCGGTAGCAGTTGAGCCAACAATTGGTGAAACTGCAAAAAACGAAGTAACTAAAGCTTAAGGTCGACTAAGAATATAATGTTCACTATGAAGTCTGATACATTCAGATTGATATTAACCAAAGAAATATTATGTCGTAATTCAGATAAAGTAAACGAAATCGTATTATATACGATGTGTTCAATAAATTATATATGTACATAAGTACATATTTGTATTTAAAAAGTTTTAATTAAAAAGCGTTTTCCAATTATTGTTCTAGTCCGAGCTCGAACATATGACTTGCAAATCGACCCAATCGCTGCTAAAAGTTTTTTTCGGCAAGGTCAGTTGGGTGAGAAAGAGATTTTAAATTAAATGAATAGTTCGTAAATGTAAGACTTTGTTTTTATCACGCTGCGATAAGTTAAAAAATAGGACATATGTGGCAACGGAAACTGGAAACTCTCACGATTCGGAGCATCGGAGAAATATACCAAATCGACCATCCATCCGCACCTGGCTCCCAGTGACATTTTCATTTTTTTTTTTTCAAATTTAAACGAGGAGTAACGGGGACGAAGAGTTTCAGACGACCGTGAGATGAAAGCGGCCGTTGAAAACTATTTAAAAAAGAAATCTAAATAATATTCCTTCAGTGGTGGTATTGTATTCACGTTGTGTTGAGGGACTATATTGAAAAATAAAACATTTCTTTCTTAATTACATACTTTAGGCCGCAAACTTATCAGACGCACCTCGTACCACATTTTTAATCATATCAACTAGAGCATGACATCAAATCAGATTTGCAAATCGAATGTGGCATTGCGTTTCTCATATCAAAAGTAAATAAATATTTTCCAACAGTACTTATATCCTTGGGTTCATTACCCCGGTGCCACCAACATCCAAAAAAGTTATGGAAAATTAATTTAAATAAAAAATTAACTCAAAATTTCTTAATTGCGGTCGCCCCTCGGCAGGGAATGTCAACCCCTCCGAGTGTATTTCTGACATGAAATAAAGCTCCTCATAAAATACCATCATCCGTTCGGCGACTACTTAGTAGATCCCTCCATTTGTTGGAAAAACATCAAGACGAAAACTCCACACGAAAGTTCATAGGACGTACAGACGCGGATTAGAATAATCTTTAGGTCTTTCATGTGTTGTGAAAACGTTAGGATGCACATAACAAGCTGGAGGAGTAGCTTTGCCGAAAATCGCCACAACTGTTATAAAACTGTTATAATGCCAGGCATATGCAAATGTGGTTTATCAGTTTCTTTGTAAAAGTTTGCACACATGAGTAAAAAATTTATATTTCTTTAAGTAAATATTACAATAGTAATAAAATTGTGTAAATATATTAATCTATTCACATAAATTCTGCTGTGATATCGTAGTTACCGCAGTTGGCGTCGGCCGTGGAGTTACCTTTCGTTTGTTACGCGGTAGGATCTGACTTTCAATATCAGCCACTGGTGCTTCAACAGCCAAGTACACTAGCACAGATACAAATAATGTTACACCGAAATTGCTCCAAAAACTTAAAATCTAGAAATAGAAAAGGAAGAGATTTTAATAATTGAAATCTAAAAAAATTACTTCAAATAAATATTACCACATCATAGTCTGAGAAATATGTATTCGTTTTTGTACGCGAAGCATTAATTGTGATCACAATCAAATGCCAAATGTACATACTATATGAAAGCTTAGATATGGGTTGCCAAAGAGACCACGAGAGAAATGCGTTAATTGGGCCGGCATATCCATTCATGCAAGCGAATACTATCCAACATAAAGCCAGTGGCCATGCCACGCGTCCTACAGCGAAATAAAACGCACTCTCCAGTACTGTGGGATCGTCTGTGCTGGGCAATGTTTTTGGATACCACGCAAACACCAATGCGACAAATGTGAAAAGCGATATAACCCAACCGATTGCCACAAGCCACTGTGCGCATTAAATTCGATTTAATAACTAAAACATTTTAAATTCAATTAATATTATAATTACGTATGACAATTTAGCAATGCGTCCATTGTTCTGATGTAAATAATATCCAAATATTAAGCCGATTAGCCACGCTGAACATCTGGTGTGCGTTGAGTAGTAAATTTTTGGCATCGCCTCGCTTGCTGTGCCATAATTTCTGCAAATTCCAAAGGTTAATATTAATGAAAAAAATGTATTTATATTTTGTTAATTTTTCAAAATGTTAAATGCACCTTGCAATGTCGTAGATGGTATATTGATTGAATACAACAATCATAAATAAACAAGCAACTAGAAGTAAGCCAAAGGCTATTGTAGCAGCTATGCCGAATTTTCGCCATCTCCAAATGGCAATTAAGAATATGGGCGACAGGAAAAATAGTTGAGTATCCACTGCCAAGTACCAAGCATGACCAAGACACTGAAAATAATTAACATTAGGATAATTAGAAAATTAGATAATGTCAGGCAGTTAAATAAACCAAAGTAACAAAAACGGAATATTTTCGGCTTTTGTCGATTGTTTTTGGAATGAACGAAATCAAGCTTTTAAAAGCTTCATAAAAAGCACATACTTAGTAGAGGGTGCGCCATCTGTTGCTGTCGCATTTGAAACTTGAATAGGTTCACCACTTTTTGACGTATTCACACAAATAATGGTTTGCTCAAAGTAGACTAATTTAGCAACTGCTTACGGCTGAAGCTCATATCTGTGATCACCTGATGAATTTCGTTTTTCATTTCAGTTGTCACTCATTATTATTTCACTTCTAAACACAAAGTTGCATGAATAATTTTGACAACCGCGGTTAATTAGCCAAACTACCTTGGACGATAGAAATTCTTGTGAGATATTCTCCTTGATCAAAAAGTGGCCGTTTGATGCGTAGTATCGTCCAAACCAAAAAAATCATCATGCCGTATTTTTCGAGAACGAGGGAATCACTGAAAATGACATAGTTTCAAGAAAAAGGTTGAATGATGTTTGACCTATGCATCATATGGAAAACGGAAATTTCGATGGACTGCCGTGCTCACCCGGGTATTTGAATAGCAAAGTTTAGATCGACAAGCCGCAAGCCATAGTTCAAGCCAAAGCCAATATTTGCCGAGAAACATTGTTTATAACCCCACCCCCCCGAGACGCTGGAAAAGTGATGCAAAATGCACAAAAAAGGTCAACTTTTTGCATCCAAAATAAAGAAGTCATTTGTTTGTTATTATATTCAAAACCTGATGTAAATAAAATAGAAAACTACAAATAAAGTTTGCGTAAGAAAAATTATTATTTTTTTAACAAAAGCTATTCATGTTTCAAATTCAACAGATGGCCCACCCTGTATTTGCATTACAATAAATGCATATGTTATAGTCTAATATCGAAGCTTTGGGACTCTGAGGTATTATTTGTCACCAGCATCCAAAACTTATGGAAAATTAATTTAAAAATAAAAAAAATTAGTTAAATTTTCTGATTGCGGTCGTACTTTAGCAGGCTTCTCGTAAAAAACCATCAGCCGTTCGGAGGTGGCTTAGTATAAACTGTAAGTCCCTCCATTTATTGGGAAAACATCAACACACAAAACCACAAATGGGAGGAGGAGCTCGGCCGAAAATCGCTTCAGCGGTTACAAAGCCTCAATTATATATAATATATTTTATATAAGAGATTTTGGCTACTAAACGACAACGCCAGCAATAACAACGAATATCGAACGTGCAGCCTTTCGATATGAGCCGGACATTGAATAGGGTACGCACGCACCAGTTAGATTTGGTTCGATGTCTGTCGTTTACCCGCATTGTGATGCACTGACCGGCCGGAAAAGTGAAATAACCAGTGTTACTTCCTCCACCAGAGCAATTAGGATCGTTCTAAGATGCATGACGATTGTTTTCAAATGGCATCGCTTGGGTAGGGAAATTAACGTAATTAGAATCCAGAGGACAGTCGCTGGATGTGTGTGGCATAAATCTGGAAATACCATGTTTTTCGCACAGCAAGTGCAGCAGCTACAAGGAAGATGAGTAGGAGGAAAAGATCAACCATCTCTTATGCGATTTTCCTGCTTTGAGTAGAGCTGGGTTTCGGTGGTATATCGACATGGATCTAATGAGTTTCATAAGAGGATCGAAATGGATGGATAATGAAGCCTGATGGACAAGTTTTTATGGCGCCACAATGTCTCTCAATCTGGCCTCTGTAAATCTGATTGACGATAGATCGCTAGCCATCTAATCTAACCTAACCTAAAGTGATTCTCTACCAAGTTCCTTAATACATATATAATTGGCACTTTGTAACCGCTGACGTTCTTCCAACAAATGTAGAGAGAGGGAGAGAGAGAAAGAGAGAGAGAGAGAAAGAGAGAGAGAGAGAGAATGAGAGAAAGAGAGAAATAGAGAGGGAGAGAAAGAGAGAGAGAGAGAAAGAGAGAGAGAAAGAGAGAGAGAAAGAGAGAGAGAAAGAGAGAGAGAGAAAGAGAGAGAGAGAGAAAGAGAGAGAGAAAGAGAGAGAGAAAGAGAGAGAGAGAAAGAAAGAGAGAGAGAATGAGAGAGAGAAAGAGAGAGAGAGAGAGAGACAATTTATTTCAAGCCGTTTCCGGACGGCTGATGGAGTTTTATGAGGTGCTTTTATTTTATTTCAGAAATACACTTGGAGGACAAAATACTCCCTGCCGAAAGGCGTCCGAAAATAATTTTCTATAACTTTTGATATTGATCAGGCTAAGACTCGAACCCAAGCTATTGCGACCGTCAATGTAATCTATTAGTTTTTCAAAGTATATTATTGAGTCGTTCACTGAGTAATTACATTTTTAAGTGAAATTTAAACATTTTTTTTTTAATTTTTTTTTATTTAATTTTTTTTTTAGAAATCTTTCGAAAATTCAATAAGATCAGCTGTTGTCAACGAACGAAATTACTTAGTGAACGACCAATAATTATACCCGCCAATTTTACTATCAAAGTGGTTTATTTATTATAAAAAAACTTTTTCTGTTGGAACTTTTTCGAGCGACTTGAGCGTTTAACCAACGAACGAATACCGAGGGAGTATCGAGCAGCTCATATTGCTAGAACCCGAAGAAATCGTTTTGAGAATTTATAAAATGGCACACACATGGAATGAAAGGCTGCCTAAAATAGTCAGAAATAAAAAAATATTCATGGAAACTATTTAAACATTGAGATTTGGAAAAGGTAATAATTAAAAGTCCACTTTAACTCTAACTATGATTGACTCTATGAAGATTTTAAAACAAATATTAAACTGAGTCTTACTATCATGTTTTTTTTTTTTACATCAAACGATAGGTCAAATTACTCTTACCATGTTGCCAGAGGCAGCGTAATTCTGTACATATAACAATGTTGCCCACCAAGTGTTGTCACAAAACTTATTCGCCACAGTAAAACTCTTCCAAATAGGTCCGTTGTCAATGTAATTAAATAATGACATATAAAATAGCACGGCTATAGCTAGGATTGGCGTTAAACGTAAATAGCGATGAATATACATCATCGGTATATTGAGCCTACCAAGATTTCTGAAATTAATTAATTACCAGTTATAATGTGTGATAATTATTTAAAGTAAAAAATTTGCATACTTCTCCATATCCCTAAAAGCTACCATAATAAGAAGTAACCCACTGAGAAAGAAAAATGAGTCCACCGCGATTGAGCCGCTTTGTTCAATCATCGAAAATGGCGAGTGCTCCCACTGCGTGTACGTACAGAAAAAAAATGAAAATATGTATTAAAAATATTAAATTAAATATCTAGTATTCGCAAACCCTAATAATTGATTCAAATGTATGAACCACTACATTGTAAAGGTTTTCCAGTGGGAGGTATTATTTTGAATATCCTGCTATTCCGGTAGTTGAAACTTTTGAAGCTTTAATTTTATAACATTTGACTACTAAAAACTATGCCAGTAATAAAAATGGAACGATGCACACTTCATCAACCCATTAAAATTAATAAAATTTACGATAGAAGTAATGAAAACCTTGTCTAAGCGCCCAATATAAAACTTTAATGTAAACGCCGTGAGCGCCAACTTCCGGTTTCCCATTCTCCCGTGTCTCCTTTCACGCGGCTATCCTTCTTTCCGTGTATACCCTACTCCGTTAGCCGAACTATCGTTTAATCACGGTAGTTCGAGCTAAGACAAAAAGGTATGTTTTTCACTCGAAATCCGATCTAACCGCGCACACGGCGTATTTTACCGCGGCACCTCCCTATTTAGTGAGCTTCATTCAGAAAGAAGACCAAATTGAAAGCCTTACTTTATTTGTGAAATTAATATGGAAATAAAAATTAATTAGTGAAAGTGTTTGTGCATACCATTAAAAATAAAAATATTATTTATTTATCTCGGGCTAGGGAAACCACTACATTGTTTAAATCATTCAAGAGAAAAATTTCAGGACCGTGTGATCCCACGAAGAGGTGATTGCAATTAGCCACCGAAATTTTGAGATCTAACACCTTGCAGCACATGCCTTAGCAGTCATGCTAAATTAAAACTCCAAAGATGGAATTCGTAAAATTATCGAGGGCATACAACAGCCGCTTTGCGATAAGGTGATGGAAAACTTCAATGGTGTTCCATTATTAATAGCAAATCTTTCCCTTTAGATTGAAATAAACATTCGATCATCTATCTCAAAGAATCCCATTTTTCTTTGAATATCAAAATGACACCTCTTATTGGAAAACCCTGTCTAATACTATGATTTATTAACCTCGTTGTGAACTCACGCTTTGTATATCGACTGAGTTGATATTCGGTGACAAGATCCGATATAAATAACAGTGTAAAAATATAATCCAGAATAGTGAAAGACATCGTATGCCATGTAGACAAGGTATATGTCCCTGTTGAATTTTCAATAACTGCTGAAGATTTTTCGATATTGAAAAGGAAATAAGTAACTTGTTGGGTGGATCTGTAATTTATTATATAAATTGACACACATTTAAAAATAATATATAAATTTGTGTATAAAATTATCTTACCTTTTTTGTAACCATAAAGATAATCGTAGCCAGTACTCAGCAACATCAGTACCACCAAAAAACTGAAAATTGCACTGCAAGGGTTTAAAAAATTAGAACGTTCCATTTATAAGTAATTAATACAATAATTTTAAACAAATTTTTCATTCCCCAACTTTAAAGAAGTTCGCCCACTTGAAAAGCAACAAAGCGGTGGAGCCGATGGATCATCGACCGATCTATTCATAAACGGCGGTGAAGAACTGACAAGGCTAAGCAATGGGTTCTTTGCGAAATATGGCTGGATGAAAACATGCGCAACGACTGGGGCCTAAGTGTGCTCTGCCCAATCCACAAAAAAGGCGATCCTACAGTACGCGCCAATTATCGCGCGATAATGCTGCAACTACCCATCTTACATACCACACAGCCGTGCCACACGACGAGTATTTTCTGCGCGACAAAAGTAACGGCTTCGGCAAGCGGTGCAAAATTTTCATTTACATTGCGCTCTCATAAGATAGGTTGCTATGGCTGAGAGGTATGCATGATGTACCCATCAAAAACATGCTGCATAAGTCTCCTAAACCCACAGGGTGATTGGTCCTTATCAGTGTGGCTTTAGATCTCCAAATGTTGGAAAAGACCCATAAGAAGCAGATCGGTCAACGATTTTAAAACAGTCTTCGACAGCACAAAAAAAAGCTGCTTCCACGCTGATATGTCTGAATTTAGTATCCCGGCAAAATTTATACGGCTATATAAACTGACGTTAAGCAACCGCGTCAGAATGGGGAAGGACCTCTCCGAGCTGTTCGATATCAAACGAGGTCTCAGGCAGGGTGATTCATTATCGTGCGACTTGTTTAATCGATTGCACCAACACGAACAACAATATCATCCTTGAAATGAAACGCAAAATCACTCTTACTAACAGGCGCTACTCAGGACTGAGTATTCAATTGAAAAGTAAAATCCTCTCTCGACGTACGAAGACCAAAGCCGTTCGGAGAGATGGACGATGGCAACATCTAAATAGTCGGCATTAGGAGTTTTCGAGAGAAAGATTTTACGTAAGATTTGTGTCCAGTTTGGTTCCTTGCAATTTTTTTTAACTAGTTTTTGAAAACAATATCTATCAAGTGGCTACCTTTCTTAGCAATTACAAAATGACCCCTTTTTTTGCATTTGCCATTAGCTTTCCGTGCATTTCGGGTGTTATAGCGTCGATTCCAGCACGACTTTTTGCCCTGAGCTCATCAAGAGTTTGCTGCTGGTTGGCGTAAACCTTGCTTTTCAGATAACCCCACAAAAACAAGTCCGGGGGTTAAATCAGGTGGTCTGTCAGATTGTGCCTTTTTGTCGCGATGTTTTTTCCGTTATGTACGTTGACTTAACACAATGGAACGACTGTTTCCAATGTAAGGTGTCACTATTTCAGCGCGTTGTTTCGGTGTGAAGCGATCCATGACAAAAATTGTACTGAATTCACGTTTCCAAAACGTATCTGATGAAATCGCTCGGTTGGTAAACGTGAAAGTTATTCAGCGTTTACATACCAACATAAAAGATGGAGTACCCTTTATACGAATGGAACAAATAGTTTGTGCAAACACTTGATTTGTAGCAATAAATACATATATATATATATATCTATATATATGATAAGTTTATCGTTTTTGTTTTTATTAAGTACTCTTTACTTCATACACTGCACCACCACTTCAAACGATTCAATTTGAAAACCTTAACAAAAACGAAAAAAATCACAAAAAATATCCAAACACATTTCCGTAATTACCGTAAATTACAACCCTGCCGGAGCGATAACAAGTTGTTAACAAGGTCAGTACTAGTCAACCTGCTTACACTAACTAGTTCAACTGCCATCTATTCTACGTTAGCGACCGAAATTTTTTAACACAGCAATGTCTAAGGAAAGCACAAATGCCCAATTATATATGCATGTTGAAATTCTACCTCCCAAAAAAAATGTAAAGCAAATTTGCTAGTAGCAAGATTTGAACCGTGGTTCTCATGCATGTTAAAGACAACCCCTGCGCTATACAAAAGGGTGTATCATAAATCAAACAAACACTTACAGGCCTATTCTCACTGTTACCAATAAAGTAAATTTTGTTACTTTTCTTTAACACCCGAAATTGAATTTGGTATTCTGGCGAACTGGTTACAATGTTTGGAAAAAATTTGACAGCACTGCTTTTTTCGTCCATGTCAAATTACATTTGCCAGTTGATAAAGTAAAAAGAAAAATATTCACAACGAAATGGAAGACGATGCACTTCAAAATAATTACGTTTTATTTATGTGTTTATTAATATATATAATAATATATAATATTTGAGCCTAAAATACTAAGTGATTTTTGAATGTTTGAACATTTAGAAAAATATGAAAATTCTCCAAATATTTTTATTTCAAAATTGTGCATTTTTTAAGAGAAGAAGGTGGCACGAAAAAGCCGAAACACGTTTAGCTATGAAGCCGACAGCGAAGAGAGAATGAAATTACCTTTAAATTATTGTATCACGGTTCAAGGCATTTTATTTGTGTAAACGAACGTTAGAAATGTCAAAATCTATTTCTCATCCATTTTGTTTGTGTAATTTGTGGAATGGAACATACAATTATATGATGTGACAACTTCACCTTCTATAAATTCGCCTTGAAAGCATGTAAAAAATTACAAAACCATCGCATATTATTTTCCTGCTTAAAAAAATTCACGAAAGAACGTCGAAAAATCAACCGTCACACCGGGCTACTAACTTAAATCAATAAAACTGTCTGTTTGAAACTGGATTTTAAGGGATTTAAATATATATGTATAAATATAAATATAATATACATATATATATATATGTATAAGTGCCGCTTTATAACCGCTGAAGTAGCATAGAGCCAAATTCCTCCTACAATTTGTTGCTTTGAGTCTTGATGTTTGCCCAACAAATGGAGGGACCAACAGTTTATACGAATTCGCCTCAGAACGGCTGATGGTTTTCTATGAAGGGTTTATTTCATGTCAGAAATACAGTTGGAAGGCTTGACATTGCTTGCCGATCCAATAAAGGGAAGTTACGGATAAGACTTCTAGATTTATATCTAAAATAGATATTTGTAATACTATATAATAAATCGTATATTCCTTGTTGTTTCCACTACTTCCGGTTATAAAATAGGGAATTTGTCAAATCCGCTAATTAAAATTCGTAAAAGTTACCGATCTTGTATTGCATTGGTTTAAATTTAAAAGCTATACGACAACATCGAGCACTTGCTCTCATATTTAAAACCTGTATCTGTATATATACATACATATGTATATACTTACATTGCAGCCCAATCGAGTGGTTGAAACTCAACGTGTTCGCCAGTTGTGCAAGTGGATGCGATCACCAAATTCGTTGACGCATTCAAATTTAAATTGTATGAGTTAACTAAGAACTCTTTAAGCAGTACATCAAACTCCTCAGAATTGCATTTGCTTGGGATACAAATCCCCAATTGTATTTCCACACTCACATCAATTGTCGTCGTACCGCTGGGAATTTGCGCCTGACAATATTTGCCATTAAAGGGTGTGTGTATATCGAGACATTCTTGAAAAGAACCCATCTCCATTCGATGACCATAAATTATACCAGATGGCCACTTAGCCCATGCGTCAAGCACTAAAATTCGATACCAATGATATTATACTAGAAATTTTCCACTTTTTCTCACATACTTTTCAGCGCCCAAATTTCATTGTCGTTTAGAGCATCTCTCACAATTCTTAGCTGCGTTAAACAATCCGAACTAACATTATTGATGTCACTAAACGAATCCAGCTGTTCAAATAAACTATTGCCAATTGAAAGATTTTCACTTTGAACACTTTGAAGACTCTTGCTTGCGCCAATAATATCAATAATCGTAATTAAAAAACAATTTAAAATAATAAGCTTTACAACGGTGCGAGTTGACATTTTCGGAACCTTTTATTTATTTAATTTTTTTTTAGGTCTATATTAATAACTGTGTGTACTCAAGAGATTACAATTCTCCCGGAATATAAAACTCCCACCGAGATGGCCAGGTTCTCGACGCGTTGTGCTGGCGGCTCATTAAACATTCGCAACGCCGCGCATTGTTATTTATAAGCAGTTAGTTCTATGAGTAATAATACCTGTCGAACGCAGTTGATACAACAAACTTAAGATTGTACTTCAATATTTTGAGCACTCATTCATAAAGATAAGTCATCAAATTAAGTACGAGTAAACTTAAACAGCACACAGTGTATTGAAAATGCTCAAATTCTTACTTGAAAACTTTACTATATTACTGATATCGTCATACAAATTCCCTAAAGCCTTGAATATATTGAATATGGACGCATATTTTTTATATGAACATTAAGTATGAAGTCTGAAGCATAAGTTCATAAGCCACGGAGAGAGAGCAGAACGCATCGAAATGTATATACCCATATGATCAGAACGTGCCCGATATAACAACTATAACAAAATAATAACGTTGCTAGTTGCCTTAATCATGTAATGTAATTATTTATTATTATATTTCAAATAAATAAAGAAATTATTAAAATAAATCTCTCATTCAACTGATTTTTCAGATATGTATATGATCAATCATTATAATAAGATCATACAATTTGGTCGCCTGCTCGAACATTATTGAGATATTCGCTTTTTAATTCTCACAATTAGGCATTTTTATACAGGGTTTTCCAAAAGCTGCTATTTTGAATACCCTGCAATTGCGGTAGATGTCGCTTTTGAAGCTGTATTTTTTTGGCATTCCAATGATAAACGCTTAAACAATGCAATTATTTGAATTCACTTTAAAAAATGGCGAAAAATTGGCAAAGGCGGTACAAAAAAGTAATGCTGGAAATGGATGGCATTAATCTGGATAACGTTTACTTTCAACCAGACGGCGCTACGTGCCACACAACCAACAAAACCATCGATTTTTAAGGGAAAAGTTTCCGGATGATGTTATCTCTCGACTAGGTGATCGCAACCATCCACCCAAAATTTAATGATTTAACACCTTGCAACTCATGCCTTAAGAGTCACTTAAAAGATAACATGATACATATACTTAGATCAGCAAGAATTCTATTTTTTTTTTAGAATTGTACGCGGGACCGATCTATGCGAAAACATCATCTATGGTTTGAATTAAAATTAATGATTTTTTTTTTTGGGAAGTTGGCAAACTTTTCAGATTTGCTTTGACCATTCCATAACCCGATAGGTAGATAGATTAGTGAGCAGGATATGCACCGCAACCAGTGGTCTATTGTGCCCTCCGATTTCTTCACATTATTCAAGCAGCCCTAATGCTCTTATAAAACTAATCAGGCTAGAGGGGCTGATTGATTAAATGTGGTTCCGGCTGAATGACTCATACGCGTTTGTGTCTTCTTCTTGCAACAGTTTCATATTCAAATATTATATAATGTGCACTGGTGTTTCTGGTACCAGTTCCCGGAATCGACAATCGAATCGAATTGCTTACGCAATCTGCAACATCCTGTAAGAAATCCTGTTGGTATTCATAAATCATTCTTACTAAACAATTTTATATTATTAAATCTTTTGGTATTGTAGCCGTTTATAACTTTCTTTGATTGTCTCATTCCATCGCTACAATACCAATAGCTGTTTCTTATACTCATTTCCTCTCTTCTTATCTCTTCTCTAATTGCGTGGGGACCTCAGTGAAAGTATGACTCAGGTCTACTAGGTGAGATTGAGACAACTTCTTTTGCGATACCATTTCATTTCCTTCAATACCTGTTTACCTCGAAACCTAGACGAGGCTCTTAACACATTCCTATATCATATATGACTTAATTATACATGACGATAATGCTTTCAGTCCTTTGGAGTATGAGCTCTGCGGATATTGTAATCGATATCTTAGTTCTGGGTCCAGTGACCACCGCACCTATTAAATCAGTGGTCTTGCAACCATCTGTGTCATCACACCAACGTCAAGTTGGCTACCATCGTGGTTATAGCAATAAAGTGAGAGAAAAGATAATTCTCAGAACTAGATATGTGATTAATTTATAGTACATGTGCGAACTAGCTCAATGGAAAACTCGCTCAAAGGATTTAAAAAGAATTGTTTACTGGACCAATGCTTTTAATTGATGACAAAGCTCGCATAAGAAAATTAAAGGGGTGTACTCATGAATTTTATGTGGTTAGTCTTCATTCCCTGTTGGAGTGTTTATAAACCATTTTTGTTGTTTTTTCTTGCTCGGCTATTTACTCTATTTACTATCGCTTTTTCATGATTTCTAGTCCGTTAAAATAACTGACATTCCGATTTGAAGTATCTATATTTTATTATAACTCTGAAGGTTATATAAAGATATGGAATTGAGACGAGGCGAAGTTCGCCAGGGAAATTAAATTGATATTGAGTCCACCGGCCATCTTATATCAGTTCAATAAGCACCCTTTAGATTGGAGTGTATACATAACCATTCTATACAAAAATTTTCAGATATTTTTATTTTACTTTGTTTTAGAGAATGTTTCACTGTAAACTTGATGTTTATTTACGAAGAAAATCAGGTGTACATATGTATATACATATGGTGTTTCATAACCGCTTCAGTGATTTTCGGCCGGGCTTCTGACTTTTAAAACTGTACCTATCTGCCGATTTTCTGCCTGCGCACAGACATTGAATGTTATAAGCATCTAGTATATTTCTATGATGTCAGAATTATAGGAGGTCTTCATTTCGTGTTATCGCACTGAGGAAAGTCTTGTTGGATATTGTGCGATCTTTGGCTTCTAGCATGCACTTCAACACCTAGCTGTGCTGCAACGGCCGCCGATAATCGATAGTTATTTGGAAAGTGCTCAACGATTTATTTATTCACGCATTTGAATGTACGCATCGAATATTAGAGCATATATGTGGTGTTAATATGTTTATAATTTCCCATAGACTATAAAAAAAACCTAGAATAATATTAATTAGTTAATATTGATTAGATCTGAAAAATTTCAGTAACATGAATATACCAGCTGTATTTGTACACGTTAAGTTGCGTTAAGTATAAAAGCTTACGTCAGCACATAGATTTAAATACCACTTGATAGTGCATTGACCTATATTAAATACCGTGTAGTATTTGTCAGTTAGCAAATTTGATTATTACCACTTCATGAATACATTTTAGCCAGTAACACATACATATGTATAAATATACACATAATAAATATATGTATAGTTAACAAATGATTTGGTGAAATTTCGTAGATTGACTTTATTTAGGGGATTTTTATACATATAACCAAGTCAAATTCACACACGGTAGTAGCAAAAATACATTCTGTTTCTGTAAAATTACTTTACACTTTTGCCAACGGTTTTTTCAATTTTCGAAGCACTTTAAAAAATCATTTTTTTATCTTGTTCAGCTCCTGCATCGATGCCGTCTTTATCTCGTCAATCGTAGCGTAACGTCGTCCTTTCATGGGCCTCTTCAGTTTAGGGAACAAGAAAAAGTCACAGGGGGCCAGATCTAAGGGAATACGGTGGCTGCGGCATCATTAGTGTGTTGTTTTTGGCCAAAAAGTTGCGCACAAGCAACGATGTGTGAGCAGGCTCGTTATCGTGGTGCAAAAGCCAATTTTTGTTCTTCCACAAATCCGGGCGTTTCTGGCGGATTCTTTCGCGCAAATTGCGCATAACTTGCAGCTAATATTCCTATGGCAAAAACTCATGATGCACCATCCAAAACACGTGCAAACAAAGCAGTTGTCTACAATTAAGTGAACATTCAAAAGGGCCGAGCTTGTCGGCATAAGTGACAGACATGAGTACCAACATAACGCCATAAAAAAATCGAAATTCGATTAAACGTAACCCGCGAAAATTCAAAATACACGATACTTTTTGAACACACCTCGTATTTTGTGTATTTTATTTTATTGCGTTCGAAATGCCAAAACTCTTATTTCGCTCTAATTCGTTGTGCCACAATATGACAAGTCGATCGTTATTCCAAAAAACGTACCCTGCAAGAACGGGCTGATGGGTTCGCCAATACACTCACACGATTTCGGGCAGCACTAGCACATGAGCAAGTTGTTCTGTTTATATTTCTCTTCTGAGTACATGCAAACTGAAAGAGAATGCAGTTGCACGTATTATCCGATTTTTTCTGTACTTATTTTCGAGCATCGTTTTATTTGCAGCAGATAGAAGTGAAAAATATATAACATGATGGGGATCCTGTACAAGCTGTTGTAATACAATAATATTGTCGATTAACTAATTACTTAATTTTTCATTGCTTTTTACATTTGTTTATTTAAGGGTACATGTAATGGACGCTTCCCACTTTGCAGCAACAGCAGATATTCAATAAAACTGTGCGAGGTACAACTGCATTTGTATATTAATATCAAAACATTCTGATTCGAATATTAATTTTTTTATTTTACTTAGGCCACACTTTATACAAAGGACCCGCGTTTATGACGGAGGTGTTCGTGGAGCTGAGGAGCTGCTTCATCAACGCATGGCGATAGTAAAGACTTCTGTATAAGCGGTTTTACTTTTAATATTTTTTGAATGATTTTTGAAAACGAATTTATTGTAGTATTGTTATTTTTTTGCATGCTATGTATAGAACAGTTAGTTAAAATAAAAACTTTAGTATTTTATTTTTTTAAATAAAATTTATTGACCATAGCTTTATCTATAAATATTTAATTTTTTAATAAAAAATTGTTCGTATAAATTTGAAAGTGAAAATAATAATTATAATTCAGAAAAACGAAAATATTTGAAATCAAAGCGAATTCATAAAGGCGAGAGCAGGAGAACAAAAACAACATAACATTTTAACGTGTATTTCGTTTTTGTTTTTAGTGTAACAATTGTCTTACTCATGACAAATTTATACGAATCGCTTTTGTTAAATTAAATTAATAATTCAAAACAAGTCAGAAAAGATTAGCTTAGAAATAAAAGTTTGCTTATTCAAATGACATTAACAGGCCTATTCTGTCGAGGTAACAAAATTTACTTTGGTATTAAAATTTA